GAGCCAAAATTTCAATAACTTAATTACCTACAATATTGATGAAGGAAATAAATTCAAATACCCTGTAGAATAAATGCAGTTTTTCAGTTTACAGTAGTTGTTTCCAACATGGTTCAACTACAATAACACTCTGAACATGCCTTGGTAATTTGACTATAACTCATGCTACACATAAGGTATTGACATGAAACAAATTTCTAAATTTCGGAAATATAATTTCCTACAACTTTTATGAAGAAATCAAGTCCTAATTTCACACGTATCAATCCCAATAATTCAAAAACCGAGGCTGTTGAAACAGGGCAACCTCTTAACTTCACAGCTATAGCACTTGACAGTAAAATGAACATAACTTGAGCTACAAATATCCGTTTGATGTGAAACAAGTTTCTAAATTTTTATAACTTAAAGGGCTACAACTTTTATGAAGATACTAATTCCTAATTCTGTTCACAAACGTCCCAAAATTTAATGAACAGTGGCTTACGAATTAGGGTGCTTAAGGTTTTTAGCTTAATCACTTCTAATCCTCAATTCTAAGTATTATTCTACTGTCTTAGGTGTAAAACCTACAATAACACTCTTTTTACTCCCATTCAAGCTTAACCAAGTGAGGAAAAAAATTGAAAATGCACCGTTTTGAAAAATAAAACGGTAGAAATGTAGAGGAGATTGAGATAAACCAACTTATCTATTGAAGTTTCTCAAGAAAATCAATATTTCCCCCTCAAAATCAAACTTCAAAGTGAGGAAGGTTTGAGAGAAAGCGAGAAATGAGAGAAAGGAAGAAGTCACGGGAAGTTGCAGAGTGAGTGTCTGTTTCAAAGTCAAAATCTAAATTTTAAGATATATTATTATTTTATTATATATTTTTTTAATTTTTTAAAAAAAATTCGAAAAATCACAAATAATCTAACAAACATAAAACTCTGTAGTCACTTTCCCCAATTCCTAATAATTTAATTATTAAAATTTTGACAAAATTTTTAAAGGTACTAAGAATTAGGATGTTACATCGTCGTCGTTGTGGAACTCGGACATCACTTTGGAGATTAAAATTTTCTTAACATTATTATCAATAATTTTATTTTTCAATTTTTATTACCAATGATTATGTTATTTTTAATATTATACATTAAATTTTGTCAATTTTTATTATTTTTTATTTTTAAGTTTATTTTATATTAATAATAATAATTTTTAATTAATTAAATAATATTTTTACTTTATTATTTTAAAAAAATAATTTTAGCATGAATTTTTTAATATAATATTTATAATTTATCAAATAAAAACTATTACATAAATTTTTATAATATAATATTTAAATTTTTAATATATTACCTAAATTAAAATTTTATTTATTCTACTTTTTTCTAAAATTATAACTTAAATAATTCATATAATAAAAAAATATATAAATTTTAAATTTCCTATTAAAAAATAAAAGAATATAATAAAAATTTATTATTTAATATTTTTAATATTATTTAAATATATTTAAATAATTTAATATATATTTAAATAATATATTTTTAATTATTATTTTTTATATAAATATTATTTTAATTTTAAAATTAAAATTTTATTTTTATTATTATTTTTATTATTTTTAATTATATATTTTATTTAAAAAAAGGTGATAAGTTTAAAGTTGAAATTCGGTTTACAGGAAACCGAATTCCAAGTATAATAGTAAAAGAGATTCATTTCATCAAAAGTTCTATTACGTATATATATAATATAATAATATTATTTTAGTAAAAAAAATCATGTTTATGCTTATATTTTAGTTTTATATTTTTTAATAAATTTGATTTTTCTCTTTATATTTAAAAAATAATTAATTAGTCATCTAATTTATAAAAATTATATAATATTTTTTAATATTTAAATTTATCATTTAATAATTATTTTTAGTTTAAGACTTAACAAAATATTAAATATATTTTTACTTTATATTTTATATTTAAATTTAATGTTGAATAATATTTTCTATTATGAAATTAATATAAGAATACTAAATTTACATATATTTTTGTAATTTAAAAACTAATGTATATATATTAGGAAGAAAGGGTGTCTTCAAAAAAGGTGTTTGGCAACACGTGTCGGGAACAAGGTGCGGGTCTACGATCAAAGTAGAGTGAAGAGGAACATGCTAGATTTCCCTCCCATCGTTTTTCTGAGGCCGAAAAACCAAACCAACTCTGATACTGCTATGTTTCACTGTGACGGAAGACCGAAAGGCGACGCGTAAGCCTTTCTCCCCACAATAAATCAGGGTTTCAGCATCGAACAGACCCTTTTCTCACACCCAAAGAGAAAGCCTTGGTTTAGATGAGTTGGTCTCAACAATGGGTTCTGATTCCAATTTGGGAGGGTCACCCTCAGCATCCTCGCCCAGTGCCAAGCGCACCAGAGATCCCGAAGAGGAAGTTTACCTTGACAACCTTCGCTCTCACAAACGATACCTAAGCGAGGTTACACACATCATTATCTAATTTTCCCTTTTTGTCGTTTTATTATTACTTCATTTATTTTAATGTTTTAACACTAACCTACTTTCTTAATTGTTTTTTGTTTGTCTGTTTGTTTTCACTAAGTTAGAATTTTAATCATTTTGCATTTATCTTTGTGAAATGCCATGCCATGGGGCTTTCATGTTCTGCGTTTCTCACTGTGTTTATTTTAATATGTTTGAGAATCTCGATTTAATTTATGAATAATTGGCTTGTTTTAAGTATTGTTTAAATTTGAGACTTGTCTTGAGCGTTTTTTATTTTTGTATTTTACGCATTGTTTAGTTTGCATAACTGAGCTGAAACATAACATCAAAAGGTTCATTTTATGTTAAAACATGTGCTTGATTTAGTCATACATCTTTGTTTGGATTGATACCTTGTGATTTTAAAAATTTTATTTTCGTGTATGGTTCTGGTGCAGTCAAATGAAATGAACTATGATTAAATTAGAGTAACTTACAATAATTGTTTCTTTGCCCAGATAATGGCATCCAGTCTCAATGGATTGACTGTTGGGGACTCAATTCCTGATAATCTCATGGAATCTCCAGCAAGGTCTGAAAGCATGTTCTCTTTCAGGTAAAATCATGGCTGCTTTTCCTGTGTAAGAATCATTCACACTTTGGAGTTTTATGAATATCTATTTCCGTGGTCGAGGTTTGTTTTGTTGCATTTCAGCAATAGCAGTTGGATATTGAATAGAACTTGTATAATGTAGGATCAAGCTTCTAATTGCTCTGGACATGATTTATAGTTGCATTATTACGTTTAACATACATGTTTTGGTTTGGTAGTGTAGGCTAACTTTGGAGCTCTTCTGTAAATTATACTATTTTCATCTTTCTTATGACTTTTGGGATTCTTCTTCTCTCCATTATATGTCAGAGTGTGGTTAAAGTTCGTAAATTCGTCATTTATCCATTGAAAGATACAGCAGTTAGCTCTGTTGGTTGCTCTAATTGCAGAGTGCTTGAAAAATAATTTTCACCTGTAGTGATGCGTGCCGTTTTGCTTTAAATTTATTTTCATGGGGTGGTGCTGGTCAATCACTTCACTTGGTACTCTTTTATTTACCCTTATGTGGCTATGTAATGTAAATTATGAATAATAATGGGTAGGAGTAGGGACTAGCAATCACAACCTGATACTTTCTAACCATTAGAAAGAATTTGATCCACCCTAGATTCAAATGTATATGGTGATTATCTTTTCCCCCATATATCTTAATCCTGATAAATAGGCAACTCATCCGACTCAACAACGCGGATCTTAGGTTCAATAAAATATAAAGCTACAAATAGATCATGGAATCATGCATGACTGTTTTTTGTGGAGGAGGGAGAGACAGAAATTGAACTAGCAAGTAGGTCTAGTTTGCATAGTATTTGCTAGATTTCTTTGGCAAATTTCCAGCTGTGTTAACTGTGAATTGGCTCTGGTCCATAGATATGTTACCTGATTTCTCTTGCAGTATAAATATCTTAATCATTTTCCGCTGTCTTTATATGATCCAACATCTATTGGAAATATTTTTAAATACACACACACACACACACACAAAAATGATCATGTGTGATCAAAATTGTTGCTAACTCCACGTATTTGTTGTTGTTTCATATCCTATATGCTGGAATAATTGGTACATATTCATATGTATAAGAGCATGTGTGTTTCTATATGGTGTATCTTAGTTTATGGTAATATTCAAATTTTGTAATAAACATGACTGTAGACAGCTAAAGAAACCTCTAAATTAAACGAGTGCACTTAGATCGTTCTTAGCCAATTAGTCATATATGGTTTATTATCATAAATGCATAATTTTTAACATAGTCAACATGTCCCGCACACATAAAATTCCATATCTATTATCAAATGTTGAAAATTCTAATACATTAAGGTTCATAGGGTTAACCAAAGAATCAAATTTATATGGGGGTATAACTAGAAAAGCATATAAGTATATTAATGTTATATAGTTCAGAGATTAACAATTAGGACCGAAAAAAATAGTTTTGGTTTCTTATTTGATTTTCTTATATTAATTTTGATGGTTTGAAAACTGCAACAGTTTAATTTGGTTTTAAACATCCTGACACGAATATTGAACTGCAGCAATATGTTTCCTATAATTTCTTTCGTTGAATTTAATTTCAGAGATGATATGTCTTTACAATATTCACCTATGTCAGAAGATTCAGATGACTTGAGGTTTTGTGAGACCCCAGTGCACAGTTGCTCATCCCAGCCCGACAGTCTTCCCAGTAGTCCAGTTTCTCCACACAGGTACCAAAGACCGCAGAATGTATTATCTTCGGCACCTTCTTCAAGTTCAAATGCTTCACATGGCTCCACAGTTTCCACTGCTACTTGCCCCACCCAGCCTCGTCAACGAGGGTCAGATTCTGAAGGGCGTTTCCCATCATCGCCAAGTGATATATGCCACTCAGCTGACCTGAGAAGAGCTGCACTTCTAAGATCTGTGCAGATGAGAACACAACCTTCTGGCGCTGCATCTTTGGACCTGCCTTTTGGTTCTAACCAAGACCCTGCTCCTAACATAGATACGGAGGAAAGATCATGCTCATATATGAAATCTCTAGTTGACGAGAGAGAGTATTGAGAAATGAGGAATTAATTTGCATTGCTGGTACTTAGTTAATGGGTTTTCTAAATGTTAATTTTGCTGTACTGGACGATCCTCAACTCAGCGTCTCCATTGCGAGATGGTCGTTTCGGCAGTAAAGTGTTGGTCTTTCTATCTTATGATGGGAATTTTTGTTCTCCCGCGTTAGCCCATTCTTTTGCCCAGCACTACGTAGTAAATATTCAATACAGTTTGTATGTTTCGGAATTTTAGCTTTCCATTTTGATTTTCATTGGTCTATTTTAATGTGTTGATGACTGGTTATAAGAAAATTGACCACAAGAATTGAATAAATCGTCATGCAACATACGTCTACCATCAAATAGCTAAAGGAGCAGAAGGTAAAAGACAAAAGTTATCTCAAAATTTTAAACCGCTCGTGTGTAATACAATGGGAGAAGAATAGTAATCTTTCAACCCCAAACAAGATAGGTCATTAATACAGACTCAAATTAAGAACTACAAGTCTCCATGTCGAATCTCTCCCAGCAATTTCGATATCAAAGTCTCATAAGCAGGAGCCGCAGTGGTCACAGGATTCCAATAAAGATGGTTAATTGCACCAATGACTCAAGCATACGTAGACAAGATATTTTTCTTTAGAGTTAACTCGTCGGCCTTCGCAGGGCTAACAGACTGCATCAATCAATCAATCAATCAATACAATCGAGTAGCCCGATTATGCCTTCAATTTTTCATCTAACTTTACAACAAAATGTAATTATTGCAAAACAATTATTTCAAAAAAACAAAGTGATTCCCAGACTTGAAATTTAAACAATATAGCATGTTTGGATTAGCTTCACAGTGAAAAAATTAATAGTGTTTGGACTAGCTTTACAGTGAGAAAAAAATAATAATTTTTTTAGGGTGAAGGTGAAGCATCAATGGTGATTCTACTATATCAAGTATTAATTATCCAAGGGGAATATCACTAGTACCTTGTCAAGTATGCGCTGTAGGCGCTGGATTTCGTTTTTAGCATAATCGGAACCTTTTCCCAAGTAATTCTTGGCAGCTTTCAAGTATATCTTCCCGTAACTGATAATAGAAAAGTCAATTGGATTATTGCATCTAGTTCTCTTATTTTGGGCAAATATTACAGAATATATGCAATACCAGTAATACGAATTAAGCTATTCTCAAGTGACAAATAAAAGCAAATGCTACTCATAAAATATTATAGAGGATGATGTTTATCCAAGTTACCTTGAGGCTGAACCCTGAAGCTTCTCAACTTCTTCCTCCATTCGGGTAAACACGGATTTCTTCTCTTCATCGCTACTGGCAGCTACAAACTCCTTCACCAAGACATCCAAGCTTTCTACTATACCAGCCTAGACAGTACCAAATGTATGAATAAGATGCCAAGTGCAACAATTTTAACTTCCATCCCCCACCCAAAGATAAAACAAAATAAAACTCTAGCTTTTCCTCATTAATGTGAATTCACTAACTTGGGAAGTTAGTTGTCCTTTTCCATCACGACTTGTTCCGGATTTCTCATTGATAAAAGCAACAAAGTCATCCAAGTCTCTTCCACCTCCGTACTCTTCACCAGCTTTGTTGCCCTTTGGAAAGAACTTCAAGGTAGGAAATCCACTCACATCGTACCTGCATATATATTATTCCAGCAAACTTCAATTAACATGTTGTAGTCTTCAACCTTTACTGTTCGCTTAATGTTTTTTGTTTTCCTAACCACTGTAAGCACATTAGACATGTATCCACCTCATAGCAGTAATAAAACATCCATCTGATTCATAGTTCCTATATTATTTTCTCTTCTTGCTAGATGATATCAAAGCCCATATCCGAATTACACTAAAATATATTTCCTGAACAGGTAAAAGATTCACATATTCCATCATGTTACATCACGAAAAAAGAGGCAACTATGAAAGAGCACTATGCAACAAACACATCAGTCTAAGGACCTCTAAAAGTAATTTTAGAGCTACTGGCCTTCGCCTCTAAAGTTTGATTTGTCAGAACCACTTAGCAAAATAGATCAGATGAATAAAACTCACTTTTCAGTCAGAACCACTTAGCAAAAAAGATCAGATAAATAAAACTCACTTTTCAGCCAGATCCCTATATTTATCAGCGTCCAGATTTGCAATAACTACATTTTCCTCCAATTTAAATGCTGTGGCAACTTTCTCGTAAGTCTGAAGGTAAAAAGAGCATAGTCAGGTTTCACATTATTGGCTTTACAAAAATGGAAGGCCTCAACCTTAAATTGACAACATGGAATCCTCAAAGATATACTTACAGGGGCAAGACTTTTGCAATGTCCACACCTAGCAGAATCGTAAAATTTATTAGATCTAGCAGTATATGATTTTAAACTAATCTGTAATGTAAACTAAGTTTTAAGAAATTTTAGACCAAAAAAAGCATGAGTTAAAGATAAAAACTGAAACAAAACGAAAATTATTGCTGAATACCATGGTGCATAAAACTCAACCAACACATCTTTGGCTTCATCCAAGACAACCTCGTTAAAGTTTTCAGGTGTTAGGACCACTACATTGGAAGGAGCTGTAGCAATCTTCACATTTGTTCCTGCAAATATTTTCTAGTTAGGAAATCCAATAAAAATTGCAAGCCTGCGCATAGAAGACAAAGGGAAAACCAAATACAGTTGATAGGGCAAGTGTGTACATCAATGTTATTCTAAGATATGAACGAAACCTAAAAGTTAGTGACTTTGTAAAGTCTATCCCACTTAAAAATACTTTTCTTTTTTTCAGAAGCTGGTGCGAGATGCTCTTGATATGTCAAATTCTAGATACTACATTCCCTAATAAGTTACATAAACACGTTAATATCATAAATCACATTGCCTTTGCCTTTAAAGATATCATAGCTCAAGGCTTCAGAAACGTCAAACAGTACCTTCTTCTGTATTCACAAACTCAGCAAGTGATTCGGCGGTGCGTGGCCCTTCATACCTGTGGGAATTTTCCAAAATAAAGTATTGAATGCGAAAGTTATGATAGATGTGAAAATGACAGATAAATAACCATGAGACATAAAATCATTTCAATGTTATATGACAATAGCCAAGATCTCCTCACTTTTTGGGTTCAAGAGATCCTTTTGGAAACCACTGAATTGTTGGGTACCCAGAGACTCCATATTTGCTGCACAAACTCTTGTGCTCATCACAGTCGACCTACAATACATTAAAAAGTATGCTCGTTGACAAAGTATGCCACCTTTTTATGAATGTTCCTACCCCTTCTAGGTATAATTTAAGTTTACTATATGTGTGTGTGTGTGTGTGTGTATATATATATATATATATATATATATATATATATATGTAAGAGAGAAGAGAGAGAGAGAGTAAAGGAAGGTAGGCGTCATTCAGTAAGAAGAAAATTAAGAGCTCACGAAAAAAGAAAAGAAAATCCGGGTGCTTATATAGTATATGTTAAAGTTGTAGGTACTTCAAAAAGAACATTCTCTACACCAAGAGTGTATCGATAAAATAAAATACACAGACTATCATATATAGACAAAATACCTAAAGATTAGAAAATACCACAAAACAAATTAAATAAACAGAAAAAATGCAAATAATATTCAAGGTTTTGAAAGAAACACCAGGCTGCTGACCTTGCCAATTAAAACTGATTTGGCTTTCTTGAAGCTGCTACCAAGCTTTTCATACTCTGGAGCTAGCTTTTTGCAGTGTCCACACCTATTATGATAAATGAGGGGGGATTTGTAAACATAACAACATTAGTGTACCCGCGTAACATAAGGAAATTACTCAGTAATCAGTAAGATGAATATGTTATTCTCGCAGAGTTTGTAAACATATAATGAATGATTGTCTTGAAGGAAAAGTAATTATCTGTTTTCCCTATTTTCTTTAAACCCCTCCCCCTCCCCACTCTCTTTTGGAAGATACCTTCCTCTTCACTGTATATGTCCTTTTCAATTCAATCAAAGGAATATAAATTAAATAGCTTCTATTTAACCCAAAGAAATCACATTGACACACATAATCTTTATCGTAAACTATGAATTCAGTGATTAGTGATTAGCTAATTTACGTACTACATCAATCCAAGGTACACAAACTTACAGTTTACCCTATACCATTTTATACCTTGATACTTATCTTTACGACTTCTACAAGTGTACATTTAGTACATGGGACAAGGCAAAAACTGACACCTGGAATTAGAATTTTAATTACCATGTTTGAAAGTTATTTTACAAACGGAATGTGATTCAAAGACCAATTCCATGAAATTCTACCGCCTAAAATTAAACCTTCCTAATGTGTAATCTTTCCCCTTTGAATCACAACTCATAACTTCACTCCTGATTTTTGTTGTCCCTGCAGCCATCCCCGTCACCTACACCGGCACCATTGTTGCTATTGCCATCTTATACCTCATTGACACAAACACCTCTTGGCTCATGACCACAACCATGATACACTACCATTATCATCATTGTCACCTATGGACCTTTTATTTTTTCTAACTCAAAGCCGATATAACCCCCGAACAATGTCTACTACCTAAACGAAACTGGATTCAATCACAATTCTCTGCTCAGATATTTTGCACAACCCAAACATAAAAGTTGATCCTGAACCAGTTCCAATTGTGACAAAAATTAGAATTGAATTTACAATTCTAAATTACAATTCCAACTTGATGCGTCAAGTGGATCCTAAAAGTTTCTATTGTTCGGTCTTGCGTGTTTCTTTTCCTCTCTCAACTATGAAAAGGATGACAGTTTATAGTAAGCTTAATTGCAACTTTTAGTCCATCTTGTATAATTAGAAGGGAATTATTCTCTAATTGTTGAACCAAAGGAACCAATGACTATAGTCGACCAGTAATAAATTAGTAGAATCTAAACAAAGTACATAATAGTTTTAATATAATTAATTAATTTCAAAAATAAGTTCACGGAAAGACAAACTAAACTAAAGGACGCTGCTCTAAAAGAATCTATAAGAACTAAACTGCACCAAAAGTCAAAGTGACATCGTATCGTATCATCTAGAAGTCATTAACTAACTACAAACCAACAGAAGGTAAACCAACAAGCTGAAACGCATAGCGCAAAGAACGCGATAGGTTCGAAGCGAAAAAAGGAAAAACACCTGAATCAGTCAACAAAACCCTACCAAACGATTTGAAAACAATCATGGAAGAAGCAATAGTTGATAGAAACAGCGAGGAAGGGATCGAGAAGATTGCAAGTTACCAAGGAGCATAGAACTCAACGAGAGCTCCTTTGTCCTGACCAACTTCCTTCTCGAAGTTCTCTTCAGAGAGCACAACGACGTCGTCTGCTGAGGCCGATAGGAACAGTAGAGCAAATGCTAAAGCTCCAAACGCTATTCTCCTGCTCCAGATCTGATTCTTCTCCATCTTCTTCTTCTTCTTCTTGGTATTCTTTCTTCTCGATTTCAGCTCAACTGCTCCGGCACGTGCAGGGTTTTATGCGAAACCCGTTTGAAGTAGTAAGTGTATCGGTGCCGTTTCGGTCACGTGTCACCGTTTTATTGCATCTCTTTTGTCATTGAAGTCATCGTTGGCATATGCATTTCTCTCTCTGTGTTTCCACATCATACTACTTACCTATGACGCCTCTTCGTTGACGTGGCAATCGCTGAGAGGAACACAGTGTCAATACTCAAATTATCTGAGCCACGTGGAAAGAAAATGTCTGCTCGTACAATATACGTATCTATACATACTCTGTAATTATACAGCCACAGTGCATAATATTTCTTTTTATTTGCTGGTATTTTTTTTGTTAATTTAAACTTTTTTATCCGTTAACCAAAAAAAACTTTAAATATATTTTTATAATTATTATTATAAATTTTAATGACTATATCATATGTAATAATTAAAATAATAATGAGACTCTTATTTTTATTTAGTAAACTCATAACAAATACGTAGATATGGGAAATTAAAATTAATATATATATATATATATATATTAATTAAAATATTCACATTTTAGACATTATGTGTCTATTGGGAAAATATTTATTTATATCATTCATTATTAATTTTATTATCTGAAAGACTTGTTTTTTTATGGTTGTTATTTTAATGATCTAATAGGATTTTTTTTATTTTGAACTCTAATTTTAGTTGGTTATTTTTCATTTTTATTGTAAACGTAAATAAATTTAATCTATTTTTCGATCTTTCCTACTTAAAAACGTAATTTTGTAGTTTTACTTAAAAATCATCCCTAATAAAATGCATTAAATTATTTTTAACTAGATAAGTAAGAAAATTGTTAAACATTTCTCTTAAAATTAATATATGATATGGGTTAACTTTAATTATATATAAGTATTAAAAATAAATGTCTCCTTAAGTGAAGAGTAATGAGATCTCTTATCAACTAGATATATATTAGCATATAACCAATGTAACATAACCTGTTAATTTATATATGGAATTAAAAATTGAGAGGAGTAGTCGGTATCCTATAAAGACACTAAAAAACTTTTAAGATGAAAATTATGTTATAAATGTTATATTCATACATGTTCGAAATGTAAATTATAATATTTATTTTAATATCAAAATAAAAAACAAGAGAAATTCTTTCTTTAAGATATGAACAAATGGAAGTTTAACTTCCAAGGAAGTCCTTTATGGAATCTCTCAAAATTTGATCAATTTATTTATTCTTTTTTTACACGCAAAAGAATATAATTTTAATTTAAAAAAATCAACAGAAAATTATTTTACCCTTCTTTACTTGTCATAATATACTAGTTAATGATAAACTAAGAAAAAATAAATAACATTACAATCTATTTTTATTGACCAATTAGAATTACCTCCAAGGATCTATAATTATCTCAAAAGATCCAATATTCATACATTATTAGAATTTTTGAATAATAGTCAAGAAGACTTTTTGAAAATTGAACATTTTCGCATAAAAGATACAAAATCTATATTGGACATTTTAAAAATAGAAAAACAGTTTGCATAATTTTAAAATCTATTGAAATAGAATTTTGTTCAAAAAAATTCTAAATTAAAAATGAAGAGTCAAGGTCAAAATATGTAATTTAAATATTAAGAATAAATCCAAATGTTCAGAATATATCTAAAATAGAATAGATGTATTTATGGATTAGTCGGTTCAAAATTAATTCTCCCTAGATAGACAATATAGATGTCATGATATTTTATTTAAAATTTAATTCAAAATGAAATCAATCTTCTAGGTTTAAAAAAGACCCAATGTTATGGATTTTTCAATAGGTAATGTTGCTCCAATTAGGGGTGTCAATATGGGTTCTAACCCGTGAGCCAACTCGGCTCACCATGGGTTTGAACCGGGTTGGATTCAATTTTTATTTCTACCGATTATGGGTTAAAAATGAACCTGACTCACTTTACCCACGGGTTAAATGGGTTCGAGTCAGGTTACAGTGGGTTGACCCACAACCCACCATTAATTTTAAAATTTAAAAATAATTATAATAATATATTAACCCTAATTAATCATTTATTTTAAATTTTAAAAATAATTATAATACTCTATTAACATTAATTGATGTTATCCTGCCTCACCTCTACCCTACATTGTCGCTACCGCCCAAACCATCACTCAAGCTTGTTATTAGTTGTTCGTCGCACCACTACGTTTGTCGCTACACTTAGGTCACTTGTCTTATCATCTGTCTATCGCACTACTACACCACAATGTCCACTGTACCACTTTCAAAGGTAAGAATTTGTACCACAACCTAGAGATTGGATTGATGAATCTTTATTTGGAAATTGTAACATTGTGTTAATAATATCTTACAATGCAATTATATATATATATATATATTTATATATATATATATATATATTTATATCATTTAAAAAATTAAAAAAATATGGGTTAGTGAGCCAACCCACCTAACCCACCAACCTGTGGTGGTTTGAGCCGGGTTGTAAAATTTATGGCTCGCCAAAAAGTGAGCCGGGTTGAACTCACCTATTTTCAGCTCAACCCATAGTGAATCAACCCGTGTGAGCCGGGTTGACTCACTTTGACACCCCTAGCTCCAATACCTAACCAAAGAGCAACTATAATACCAATCAAATTTTAAAAATAGAAAAACATTTTGCATAATTTTTAAATCTATTGAAATAGGATTTTGTCAAAAGAAAAAAATTCTAAATTAAAAATGAAGAGTCAAGGTCCAAATATGTAATTTAAATATTTAGAATAAATCCAAACGTTCAAAATATATCTAAAATAGAATAGATGTATCTATGGATTAGTAAGTTTAAAATGAATTCTCCCTAGATAGACAATATAGATGTCATGATATTTTATTTAAAATTTAATTCAAAATGAAATCAATCTTCTAGGTTTAAAAAGACCTAATGTTAGGGATTTCTCAATAGGTAATGTTGCTCCAATACCTAACCAAAGAGCAACTATAATACCAATCAAATTTTAAAAATAGAAAAATATTTTGCATAATTTTAAAATCTATTGAAATAGGATTTTGTCAAATTTCTTATTTTTTCTAAATTAAAAATTAAGGGTCAAGGTCAAAATATGTAATTTAAATATTTAGAATAAATCCAAATGTTCAGAATATATCTAAAATAGAATAGATGTATCTATGGATTAGTCGGTTCAAAATGAATTCTCCCTAGATAGACAATACATATGTCATGATATTTTATTTAAAATTTAATTCAAAATGAAATCAATCTTCTAGGTTTAAAAAAGACCTAATGTTAGGGATTTCTCAATAGGTAATGTTGCTCCAATACCTAACCAAAGAGCAACTATAATACCAATCAAATTTTAAAAATAGAAAAACATTTTGCATAATTTTAAAATCTATTGAAATAGGATTTTATCAAATTTCTTATTTTTTCTAAATTAAAAATGAAGGGTCAAGGTCAAAATATGCAATTTAAATATTTAGAATAAATCCAAATGTTCAGAATATATCTAAAATAGAATAGATGTATCTATGGATTAGTATGTTCAAAATGAATTCTCCCTAGATAGACAATGCAGATGTCATGATATTTTATTTAAAATTTAATTCAAAATAAAATCAATCTTCTAGGTTTAAAAAAGACCTAATGTTAGGGATTTCTCAATAGGTAATGTTTCTCTAATACCTATCTAAAGAACAACTAATACCAATCAAAAAGATAGTGGTTGCTATTTTTTCAATAGGTAATGTTGCTCCAATACCCATCTAAAGAACAACTATAATACCAATCAAATCAAAAAGACAGTGGTTGCTATTGGAGAAATGGATTTAAAATGAAATCAATCTTCTAGGTTTAAAAAATTGGCTTTTAACATCAATTGTTAAAATCAATCTTCTAGGTTATCACTAGTAGGATTTAAACTCAATACCTTGGAGTTTGAGACTCGATACTCCAACCACTAGGCTACTCTGGATTTATCGATAATAACTTACAAATAAATTATATTTATATACAAATAAATGTATATCCGTGTAAATATAAAATATATAAATACAAATATATATATATATATATATTGATATATTTATATATATTTATATGTTGGATGTGAGGGCGCACTCGAGGGTGAAAGTGTGTGTCGAGTGGGTGTTCAAAATTTAATGACAGAATATAATTTTTATAATTTATTTATATAATGATATAAAATAAATTTTTTTCTTTATTTATTTTTATTTTATTTTAATTTATTCTTTTTATCTTCTTTTCTTCTATTATTTAATTAAAATTCTTATATTAAAATAATTTTTTCAATATTAAAAATACTTAAATATTTATTTTTAAAATTATTTAATTTAACAAATTATTATAAATTAATCTAATTATGATTAAGGGTGCAGCTATTCCAACTTGGGCGATGGAGGTTGATTCGCTGCAGTTTGGTTCGCAGAATAAGGGACGCGAGGATGGGTGAAGGGAAACGGAGGTTAGGGATTCGATTAGGGAGGGAGATTGGAGGGACGGTGGTTTTCGCGACTGCGATGGGGGCAGGGGAGTAGGCGAATAAGGTTTTGGTGAAGGGATAGTTGGAAGTGGCAGAGCTGAATTTCGATGGTTGAGTTGAGCGTGACTAGCTTGCAGTGGGCGATTGATGTGGTGCGGTGAAGGGGCAAGAGAATAGATTTGGGAGGTTAGGTCTTGGTAATGGCTAAAAATGAAAAGCAAGGGAAGAATGGGTCAAAATGGAGGTTCCCAGGGGGGAGGCAAGCTTGTCAGGGAGACAGATGTTGAAAGTCTGTCTAAAATTTTTATTAATTGTTTTTTTTAAATAAAAAGACTTTCCACATCGGTTCCTAGCTGAACCGATGTAGAAAATCTTAAAAAATTTTCAAAATTGTCACCGTGTCACTTTCTACATCGGTTCTTTAAGAATCGATATAGAAAGTCCGATGTAAAAAGTAGATTCATTGGGTACTGTTAATTGTTAGGTCTGTCGAGGGGAATTCACTAGGGAGAACAACATAAATGAGATATGAGCCCAATCCACTCTCAACCAAATGGATTTTGGAATTTATTAACATTCTCCAAAAAAGGTAATGTTAATTGTAGGGTGTGTCGAGGGGAATTCACTAGGAAGAACAACATCAATGAGACATGAGCACAATCCACTCTCAACCAAATGGATTTTGGAATTTATTAACATTCTCCAAAAAGGGTACTGTTAATTGTTGGGTCTATCGAGGGGAATTCACTGGGGAGAATAACATCAATGAGACATAAGCCTAATCCACATAAGGGATTGACATTACTCTTAACTCAAAACCTTAATACATTAGGTTCTAGGTCATACTTATATGTTGCTCAAATTTCTAATTCTTACTCAATGTGAAACTTAACTCACACGATTACCCAACAATCTCTCCCTCAAGTGAGTCCCTTCACATTGGTACATCCCCTCGAGCTCACTAGTGGTCCTTTCATGTACCGTCGTTCACTCTAACGGGACACGCTTACCTGACCCACTCTGTTAGGAAGACTTTTGATACAAAGACCACTCTAACCCAGTGTCAATTAAGCTTTGGCTCTAATACCACTTGAGACCTTTTATGTACAAAGAATTTACTTATTACTAATATAATCTAACTCGCATTGTTCTTTATATCTACTTTGTTCACTCCAATAGTATCAGAAATCGAATCAATCAATGCATAGGACATGAATGCGTTTTCATACTATTAAGTTTACTGAAATACATCAGATAGAATTCAGACTATACCACATCACTTATTTTACTAGATCTGATGCAGAATAAAATTGAATATGATCATAGAAAAGATTCTCTTCAAGTAAACCTAGTCTACCCTCTTTGTAAGAGTCTTGCTTAGTGGTTGGAAAAAAGATACATTTAATAATAAATTCTAATGTGGCAGATAAGATAAAATCATAGATATGCGTGACCAAATAAATAGTTTAAGTTACACACTCCCATAATCCATTCTTTGTTCGGAGAATTCCCTTCAACTATTCATGTATGTAAAAAAAATTCAATTTTTGTAAGTTGAAGAGAAAAATTTAAAAACATGTCTTATTTTTTTTAGAATCCATATTTGTAGCAATGAAATAAATTCCTCCCAAAATAATATAGGATTGTGATTACAAATATCTATGATCCATATTCACTACAAAGGCGCCATAAATGTCTTGTTTATGTATTATTGAAAAGTGTATTAACATAAACACAACAATAAGAAGTGGTAATACAAAAGTATGCAAACTATAAAAATGAGTTAAGATAGATTGACCCACACTAGAACTTCCATGTAATAATTCTACCAAAGCGATCCTATTACAGGAATAACTTCAGGTATGCCTATTACAATTTTAATTTTGACTGCCCAATAACCAATTTGATCCCAAGGTAAGGAATAATCAGTGACACCAACAGATGCAGTTAATACCACCAATACTACACCCGTAACCCAAGTTAATTCGCGAGGTTTTTTAAAACTACTTGTAAGATACACAAGAAATACATGTAGATCATTAGTAAGACCATCATACTTGTTGACCATCAATGAACTGATCGGATTAACCAACCAAAATTAGCCTCAACCATTATATATTGAGCAAAAACAAAAACTTCAGTAACAGTTGGACGATAATAAAAAGTCATAGCAAATCTTGTTGCTACTTGGACTAAAAAACAAGTAAGTGTGATTCCTCCTAAACAATAAAATATGTTCACATGAGGCGGAAAATATTTACTGGTTATGTCATCGGCAATCGCTTGAATTTCAATATGTTCTTGGAACCAATGATAAACTTTAGGTAACCCAAAGGAACCCCCCTCGAGAACCATATATGCGAATTTCATCTCGTACGACTCAAACAAAAATGTCCAAATATTTGTTGTAAAAAAAACAGATATATGTAATAGAAAATTTGAAACTTCTTTATTGAATCCTATTATTCTAATTTTCTCTTATGATAAGAAAAAATGGAAATCCGAAGGCTATTCTTTTTGGTTATAATGCCAAATTCTCAAGTTGGCAAACTAGTCTTTTTCTTGATCTTTTAAGGCCTCTTGAATATTTTATTATTTTCTTCATTTTTTTTATTTGTATAATGTGATTTTACTGCTTTATTATTTAATTTTTATTATTGATAAGGATTCTCTTGTTAGGACCATATGAATGAATAAAAAAAATATAAGATTCATACTATAACCACGATGATTCAAAAAACCTTTAATTAAAGTCTAAAAATGACATGAGTAATAATTGCTGGATCATCACTTCTTCAATGAATAAATATAATGAAAAAAATTCAAGGAAATGTCCTTTGCTCAAAATAAAGACAAGCTCCAAAAGCTTGAAAAAAATGAAAATTTTTAAATTGATTTTTACAACTCTTTGAAAAGGTTTTTAAGTCCACTAGTGAGGTCTAAATATTTAGTATGAATCATAGTTTTAATATTTTTAGAATCTATTTTGTATATTTCGTGCTTCAAATACTAGATGAGATATCTGATGGAATAAACTCATCTCTATCAAGATGACAAACCAATTTTATGTTCTATACTTTCAATAGGACCAATTAAAACAAGTCACACACTCATATTCCGGAAATACATAAACAACAAAATTCTCCGATCAAACTACCAAATCAAAATAGAATAAACTAACAAACAATAAGAAACCTAAAAGCTTCACTTTCTATTGAAATACTAATTAATCGATTTTTGTAAATCTAATTCATAGAAACTACGTTCAATAAAATGGACGAATTATAAATCTCCAAAATAATAGATAAAAATATCGCAAATAGAGCCATTGCAACACCCATCAAAGGAGTAATTCCCCATCCCGGGACTACTTTACCATATTCTGAATTTAAAGGTTTCAATAAATTCCCTACAACAATTCATCTTGGACCAGATCTTTAATTATCCTTAACGGTTTGCATAACCATAAATACTATTTTTTATTCATTTAGATATGTTGACTTTGTATACCATTCGACTGTAAATATAAAGATTTAATCCTATAGATCTATTGTGATTTGGAAACTTTATGATTAGAAAAATGGAAACAACAACCTCAATTGTCATCTCTATATCTGGTTTACTTGTAAGTTTTACTAGGTATGCCTTATATACTAGTTTTGGACAACCCTCGCAACAACTAAGAAATCCATTTGAAGAACATGGGGACTAGTTGAAGTAATGAGCCCTTCATATTGGGGTCTCATTACTTCAATCATTACTTCAATTAAGCTAATAATAAAGAATTAAGATAATACAAAATTATTTAACCTTTTTTGTCGGAACTTTAGGGGGTTCTCTAAAAAAATAGCGAAAAAAATATTTCCTAAAGTTGAGACTAAGAGAAATGTATAAACCAATGCTTCCATCGATTTAATTGTGGTTTACTATATATAGCTTTCATACATGTTCATTGGGGCTCATTTCTAAAATAAAAAAGAAAAAGAGTAAAGAAGAGCAAATGCAATGATTCAAATCAAAATTTATCTAGTTCTTTATGTGAAATTCAATATCATAAAAAAATAGAAAAGAACAAAAGAATATTATATTACCTGTCTTCTTGTAGTTGGATCTCTAAGTTTTTGGAATGCTCCAAATTCTACTTGAGCATCTAAATTTGAGTCGATACTAACTAAAATATCTTTGAACAAAATTCTAGCACCATGCTAAATATGCCCGAAAAAGAATAACAGAGCAAATGAAGTATGCCCAAAAGTAAACCAACCCCCTGGACTGTTACGTAAAACACCATCTAATTTCAAAGTAGCACAATCTAATTCAAAAATTTCACCCAATTGAGCATGTCTAGCATATTTTTTCACACTAGCGGGATCACTATAACTTACTCCATTAAGTTCACCACCATAAAACTCAACAACTACACCTACATGTTTGACACTATATTTCGATTCTGCCCTTAAAAAAGGAACATCGCCTCTAACAATTATGTCCCCATCTACTAAAACAACTAAAAATGTTTCAAAAAAAGTAGGCATATGACGTACAAAAAGCTCATGTCCCTCTTTATCTCTAAAAATGGGATGTCTTAACCAACCGACAACTATTCCATCTCCATTGTCCATTGAACCCGCTCTAAATAAGACCCCTTTTGCTGGATTATTTCCAATGTAATCATAAAAAGCTAATTTTTCGAGAATTTTAGACCAAGCTTCTGATATAATTTGATTTTCGGCTAGTACAACGCCAACTCTTCGATATATTTCTTGCTGGAAGTATCCCTGATCCCATTGATACCGAGTAGGACCAAATAATTCAATGGAGGTTGTTGATGAACCATACCGCATAGTTTCAGTAACCACAATAGCTACAAAAAAGACAGCAACAATACTGCTAGAAAGGATAGTTTCAATATTTCCCATACGTAATCATTTATATAGACATTGGGGTGGATGCACACTAGGATGGAAAAGACCCGCTAATATGCCCAATGTTCCTGTTGCAATATGATGAGAAACTATCCCATGGAATAAAAAGATCAAAACCTTCCACACCGCATGCGGGATTTACATATTGTATCCTTCCAGTTAGTCTATAAGGATATGATACCCATATTTCGGGACCATACAATCTTGTTACATGAATGCACCAAAAATATATAGGTAAATACAATCATCATCGTATTAAATTAATTTTATATTCCTAATAAAGAGACAGAGTATAAAATACACAACTATAATTTTCTTTTTTTATGGGATTTTTTTTGCAAAACTTTTATAAAATTTCGTAGAAAATTATTTTTCTACCAATTTTCATATCAATTTTTATCAATACGTAATTAGCTTGTGGATAATAGATTAGTTAGGAATTTAATATTCGCAAACATTTTCTCGTAAGTCATTTTTTTGTAAATTTAAATTTGCATATAATTTCTTATAATTTAAATTCATAATTAATTTCTTATAATTTAAATTTGAATGTAATATTTTAGCAATTTAAATCCGTATATAATTTCTTATCAATTTCAGATTCACAGGTAATTTAATGTTAATTTTAATTTTACATATAATTTTATGCTAATTTTAAATTCGTAAGAAACACCAATAAAACTTTCTATGATTTATTTTCAATAATTTCATAGGATATTTATTAAAAATTTTGAAATATGTATATAATTTTTTGTATATATATATATATATATATATATATATATATATATATATATATATATATATATATATATTTAATTTGACAAAATTCACATAATCATTGTGAGACAGACATAGCTTCTAATATTCATCAAACCTCATCACAAAGGATGCAATTCCACTTGGATGTGTGCAGAAGTCACGAACTCCAATAGAAATATCAACATATGAATAGAATAAAGTTCAACTGAAGCTAAAGAAATTAACTACAATATCTTTTTGGCTCTTGTTTTTGCCTTTATATGTTTTTGCCTCATTTTCTTCTTCTGAGAAGGAAGCAACTTTGACATATTATCATCTTCCTCTGTTGTAGACTTTTGGGGAGAATCATACAACTTAATATGGCATCTGCACCTCAAATGTTACATTCATAGGATTATAAACACAATCAAAACTCAGAAGTACATTGCTTTACCGGTATTAATTAAGGCATAACGGTTATAGCAGTCCTTAAGGATCTTTAGGATATGAAACATAAACTAGCACCAAATATGAAGTATGCCAAAAAACATTGTTGCTCTTGCATTACAAACAAACTTTTCAAAAAATTCACAAGTTTAGTTTCCCATATAGCTTTTAACTTCCATAACAACTCAGTTAATCAACTCACCACACAATAGTAATAGGTTTAACTCATTCAGTATAGAATAATACTAATAAAAGACGACATGGTATTCACCTGATAGCCCCAACTACTGCTTTGTGAAAATATGCATGTGAGTGCAATTAGTCTTGAAATCTAAGCATTTCCACATAAGTACGCAAAAGCAATATGAATGAAAATCAAATTGGTCATTCATAATATCAACATAATGCTTCTCCATTGCTAAAAATGTCTTCAGCGCCCGTCCAAGATCACCCTGGCGGAAATAGCTTTCACCTGAGACTAGTTCATACCTTCCAAAGTAGATGTGACACATTAAATAATTAAACCACAGTACTCATTAGATAGTGCAGAATATTAATATAACATTATATACCAACCACATGCACTGCATTATTGTGTTGATCCCCATCTTTTGTGAATAATACAACAGTTTTTTCAGCCAAAGACACCTTCACATCAAAGAAATATACATAAATAAAGCATATTAGAAAATGATAAATTACGATGACTTAACATCCAAATATAACCAAAAGATAAACAAAAACCTGATCACCTGTAGCATCCACTTAACACATTCACTATTAACATAGCGATTAGCAAGATCCATACACCTAGCTTCATCTGCAAATGCAACAGCAACCAAATCACCAACATGCTTCAGTATCCGACTATGTTTTACAAATACAAACACAACAATCCTTCAAATTTGTTATATAGACTGTTGAGGATAGCAAAGTTAACTCCAAAGTTAGTTTCACACATAGTCTAACTTGGCCCACGGGTAATTTAAGTGGCATGGAAGAAAAACACAGGTTCGGTTGTTCATTAAGCTTCTTCACAAGGATGTAACTTCAAGTCGATTTATGCATTCACCAGCAGCTATTTCAGCAAAACAAAGATCCTTAGTTGAGCACACGGTGGATTTTTATACACATAACAAGCACTGGAACAATCCACTAAAAACAACTAGTTTGTTTTAAAAACAATACAAAAATAACATAGGCATAAAATCAGACACATGGTATGTGTTATAAATATTGACATAAAATCAAACTCAAACTCATTGATACTATTCACCACAATTAAACTCCTAAAATTAAGCATATTGAAATTAAGGTTTGAGAAGGTAAGAATCTCACCACAATGAATGAGAACCACTTGTGCATTCCATTGACACAAGCACCGTGAGATTTAGCTTTGAATTTTGCTTCAAATGCAACATCAAGAGCCTCTCATTCACTGTCCTTCTTAAAATGCTCAGCGAGCACGACAAAGTCTGACATTAAAAACAACAACCATACATTTGTTGAATCGCGACAAGACAATCCGAGTTATTGTGGGAGAGCAGCGTTCAAATTTCTCCTCCTCCATGGAGACAAGGATAGAATGAGAAAAAGACCTAAGATTCAGAATATGTGTATGATTTCTAAAGAAGAAGTATGAGTTAAGCTACAATAAAACTAATAATTGAAAAAAGATTATTCTAATAATTTTATTAAATTACTCTATTATATTAATATTACAATATAAAATATATTGTATAAAATCATTATAATATTAATATTTAATAAAAAATAAATTTTATTATATTTTTAATTATATAAACTATAAAAAGAATCAGTAATTATATTTCAATTTAAAATTAATTATTAATTTAATTTATTGAAAAAATATTTATAACTAATTTAATAAAATAATATTTTATTAAATAAATTATTTTAAGTATTCAAAATAATAAATTAAAATATTATATTATGTTTTCCTGTAAAAAATAATTTATAAAAAAATTATAATAAAAGTGATTTATGAATTTTCCTGCCATTTACACTGATATTATTAAACTTTCTTAGGAATTTATATTCATAATATAAAGATGGTAAGAAATAATTTTCAATACCTGCCAGTATTCTTTCAAAATTTTATTTTAAAAAACATATATACATAATTAATATATTTACAATAAAGTTTGCAAAAAAAAAATTTCTAATAATTTTTTTTAGAAAAAAATTGTAGTTATTTCCTATGAATGTTTCTTTTTATAAATTATTATTTCTAAAAAATATTTCAAGTAATTTTTGTAAATAAATTTTTGTAGAAAATCTTTTAGCAAATAAATTAAATTTTAGTATCGATATGATATTTTTTTTTCAAGTCTTGTGTTACCTATAATATATATATATATATATATATATATATATATATATATATATATATATATATATATATATATATATATATATATATTATCCTTGTGTATTTCATGAGATTGGTAATTAAAAACAAGTATTTTGAAGTGTCCCATATTGGCATATCTCAAATATATAATATGCAATTGTGTTAATATGGAATTTATTAAAAATTATGTTTTTTCAAGAGTTGGATTGGTGAACTTAGAGTAAGATCGGTGAATATGAAATTCTTTCGGGTAGATCTAAAAGTATAGTTGAAAATGTGTTTTTTTATATCAATTGTTTTTTTTTAAATAAAAAGATAATTTGATATAACAAAAATGCAGTGATGTTTTTGAAATTTAAATAATTTTGTTACGTTGGGTCATGTGGACGTAGAAACTTAAATTTACGTCAAATTTTTAGATGATTTGATATCAAATGGGTAAAGTTTTGAACATTTGCATAAATGAGATTAAGAGACCAAGTCAATTCACATTTCTTTGCTTAATACTCTCATTCTTTTACCAAAGAAATAAGCATTAAGAGTGAAAGGAATTCAACTTTATGCAAATGATGATAGTGGTTTCTTCTTTTATGGTGTGGTTCCTCTTGCTCCTCTTGGCATTGTTGCTCATTCAACAACAAGCCATAACCACCACCACACCATAGATCTCTCACCTTAGGTCTTCACACATACACTATTTCACTATGAGAAGCATGACTTTATATATTTTCTTGCTTAATGTTGGAGTTGTGAAGCTTTCTTACCTTACTAATGAAGTCTAGGATTAGAGTTGGAATCGTTGAAGCTTCTTTTCGCTCCTCTTGTGATGTAAAACAAAGTAAATCAAGTTACTCAAGTGTTTGACTCCTCACACAAGTTTAATTGGTATGATCACTCCACTTTTCAAATAAAAAAGTTTTTAAATGTTCCAAAATTCATTTTAAAATCTAAAAAATTTCTCTTGAAAAATGGTAATCAAATGGAAAGATGCACGCCAACCAAAAACACTTAAGAGATCCAAAAAAAGAAAACTTTCAAAGACAAAATGTAAAAAAACCTAAGACAATACAAAACTTTGAACAAACGACTAGAGCAAGAAAAACTAGAAAGAAATTTGAGAAACACATAAACATATGCAATCAAAATTTTCAACCAAACACACACATAAAGAAGACTAAAGTTCCTACAATGTTATAACTAATTTACCAAATTTTAATCATGCAACCAAGTATTATGAAAATTTTTAGAATCAAATCTTATAAGTGCATTTTTTTTTGAAGTTGTAAGGTTTCGGCCAAGGTAATTTTGTGTAAAAAAAAATTTTCTAACTTGATTCTAGACTTGCCAAAAATTGTTT